TCTGGAGCCTATCTGTCAGGAGCTAAATCCTTTGAAAACTACCATAAGTGCTTGCTCTATGTTATTCATTGTTATTAAAATGACTTTTTCTGAAAACTGAGTGAATAGTCGACATCTGCTCATGAGTTATTGATATTTGTACTACTTTCACTCTATTTTTTTTCAATTGCTTTCTGAAGTCAATTCCTTTATCTTCTATTCTTGAATTGCTCAACGATCGTTTGAGATGCAGGTTACGAGTAAAAACTGCTACTGAAATAAGCGATTGATCCTACTACTTTTTACAGTGCACCATGGACGGCAAGAACTGCAGGCGTAGTCTAAAGATGCAGCAATGAGTTTGCTTGCTGGCTGCTGCAGGCTCAAGCAGCAAGCTCAGCCTGCACACAGGTCTGGGTTCAAATAGCATAGTGGACTGGGTTGGTGTGGTTGGAACAATCCAATTGGTGGGCTGGGTTGGTTTTTAAGGTTGAGATCATCACTAATGGTTGGGGGTGGGTTCAGATCGGATTTCGCACCATTACCAGCTTTACATACGTTATAAGGATCAATACATATTTAGAACTTGTTATGAACTTATGATATGATTCACACCCTCCAATTCATAGATACTGTTTGCTGAAAAAACTGAACTCTCTCACAAGGTTCTAGTTTGTTTAACACAACAAATCTCAAACTTTTAGATTGTGGTTGACATGATAGAATATGAATCAAATGTGATAACTTTCCTCTTTAAAAAGCTGTCACAAAGTAATACTGATCCATGTGTCTATACTGTTTAATGTGGTAGCTGCCCTTAGCTTATTGGTTGCTCCTCGGTTCAATAGAAGCTATCCAGCTATAGTGTAGAAGCGAGTAAATGCTATGAGAATTGGTGTTTTTTTTCCTAGGAGTTACAATCATTTTAGAAGGATCCGTATGAATACCAAGATTATTCATGGCTGCGCCATTGATGTGCATGGGCCAAAATATTTTCTCTTTATCCTGGTCATTGGTTGTAAAAAGTTTTGACAATCAGTATAAGCTTGGGTGCTTTGCTTTGTGCTTGTATTTCTCACAATTTGTTTCCTGCTGCATGCAGTGAGAGTTTGTATGAAGACGAGGAGTTTGTCCAGAGGCAGCTTTTAGCACTAGTTGCCCCTATGGTGTTTTTCTACTTAGCCGAGCTAAATGGCGCTCTGTCGTATGCACTTGGTGGTGGACCCCTGTTTGATGTTTCTGACGACTCTGATTACGCTCAAACACTGTTAGGTAATCTGCCTGGTGCCTGCATTATGACCAGTTAATTGTTGATAGCACTAAAAGTACTGTGTTAAACATTACCTCCTTCGGAACGAAGCTTTGCAATTTATAGATGGTTCTCAGTTTCCTCTGGTTCTAAATATTCTGATTATTTTGGAATTTTGCATACTGTGCATTTCATATTAGGAGAAAATGGTGTTGGGTTATTCCTCAGGAATGCTGAAAATACTCTTGTTTTCCGCGTCGATGTGTTGGAAGCTAAACTAATTTCTATGAAGAAGGTACTCTTGTTTTCTTAAAGAAAAAAAAGTAGCTGTAAGCTGATTAACAGGTTGACCCTAGTTTGGTATCTTAAAATTTAAGTATATGTTGTAGCTTCATTGTGAGGTAATAATATTTTTCTCAGCCATGTTAGTTACATCAAAGAATTTGGCTGTTCACTAAATTTCTTGATAATTTGTTGTATCAGAACCAGACGTGAAATCCTAGATTGATACATGGAGTTCATGAAACAATTAATAGAAAATGCTACTTTTCCTGTACTGACATTTGTTTCTCTCATGAAAGGTCTTGTATGAGACATTGATTCGGCGGGATGAGTCGCTTGCATATATTGACCAACAACAGACACCCAAATTTTGTGTAAGTAACGGCCGTTCAGATAGTTTGCCTTTTTCGTTTCAAGAGCATACCATTTAATGCTTCCCTCTTCTAGTCAATGGTACCAAATACGCAATCTCATATTTGTCCATCCATCATTTGTAGTGGCGTAAGTTACGCTTCTAAGGGCTGTTTAGAGGGGCTCTGGCAGCCCCGGGCTCCAGAATCGTTATGTGAGTATTGTGGCGGAGCCACGGACACTTAGAACGCTGGCTCCTCCGGCTCCTCCGCTTTGCGAGTTGTATTTTGCGAAGCTTCGAGCCGCCAGCTCCAGCTTCAGTGCTATACATGTGCTTGTGCAGGGGGCTGGAGCCGGAGCGAGAGCGGGTGCCAAACAACCTCAAGTACTGGAGTACTTGCCACCTATTTTCTTCTCTTTGGAGATGGCATGCTGCTATTGTGGGCCGCAATATACTTGCAAATATCTTGGTATTTTTTTTTCAAATATCTTACGTATTTTGTTGCGATTAAAAGAATTACAATTTTAGAAATAGATAGGATTGACGAAAGGGGTGTATGTATGGAAGATCAAATATATTATTTATACAAAAATCAAGTGAATTTGTTCAATGTGATGCCTTCTATATGAGCAAAAGTGGATTTATCAAATTATTTTAATTGTAATTTTATCTATGTAGTTTTGCCGACATTTTTTTTGGCAGGGTATGGTTTGTAAAATACCTTGGAAATGGTTTTGCCAACATACAAACTGTCGGGAAAGGTTTTAACTGTCGGCGTAGGTCTTAACTATCGGCAAAAGGTTAACTGTCGGCAAATGTTTCAACTGTCGGCGTAGGTAGACCGTTTGCCTACACATAAAGTGTCGGGGATTCTGTTAACTGTCGGCAAAAGTTTCGCCGACGGCTTCTAGCGCGACTGTTTCTAAATTGTCGGTAAAACTTTTCGCGGGAGGTTATCTATCGACAAAGGTGCCCTTTGCCTACAATAGAAAGTGTCGGCAAAAGTATGTTGTGTTATAGTACGAACAGGGTAGCACTAAAAATTAGCTGGCTAATAACTAATAGCTGCTAATTTTTTGCTAACTGATTTTTAGTAGGGGTTGTTTGGATCCACCAGCTAATAGGTGTTTGGATAGTGAGTTGAAGGTACATATGAACTATTAGCACCTATTAACAACTCCAAACCTATTAATAGAACTACTAATAGATAGCAGCCCTCAAACTAATAATTAGCAGGTCTATTAGCAAATCTATTTGAATCTACTGGTACTAATTTTAGCTGTAAATTTTTAGTGCTAATGGATCCGTACAGACGCTAAAGACTAGATTGCCCCCGAATATGCTTTAAGACGTTACTGGGGGCGTTGCCCTGTTCTTTCCATTGCCATTACCATTATTACGCGTTTAACTATAACACACTGAACTCACAGGCTGGTTTGGGTTGCCGCCCATTACACGTTCAACTCGCACCGGTTTGGAGCTGCCGCTCCAAGGACCCTTGGTCTCGTACTCGCAACAAAGGTTTGCAACGTGCGCCTGCCACGCACGGTTCTGGGCAATAACACCGAACAAATTTCCTGTTTTTTTGCGGCCCTTTTTTTAAGGCTATCTAGCAGAGGTAAGATAACTTTTCCAAGGCGTTCTATAACCTCCGTTGATTTCCAAGCATGGGCCACAACCCGATAACCCAGTCTCAATGGGGATTTCATGACCTTGTTACCAATGCATTCATATTTTAGAAATAGTGCAGAAGAGTTTCATCCTCATGAAACTCTTTCTACTCCTATGAAACTCTTATCATCTATCTCTTCATCAATACGGTACCACATCAGCCTATTTAATGTCCATAAAACTCTGATAAAACTCCACTGAAACTGGCCTACCATGCATCACTCCGTACTCAACGTTGCCTTGGGTCTATAAGACACAGAAGAAAGAAATAAATCACATCATTCAGGATTGAAACTCTCGAGACGGTCCTAATAAATAGGAAAGGCGACACATACTTCAAGAACACGCTCACCACAACTGCATGAATCAGACATCACTTGCACAGAGCTGCTTATTACTATCAAATCACACGATTGAGTTGAACACCCGGCTGCCTGCCACCCAGCCAAAACAAACAAGCAAAAGAAACGCACTCGCGTACACACAAGCAAAAGAAACGCACTCGCGTTGGGAACAGCTGAGCGCGCCAGCCAACACCAAATACAATTGAGTGTTCCATGTAATTCTATTTTTGTCCCTTTTCCACACAAAAAAGAACACCAAATGAGACCTAGCACAACACATGCAGCTTGCAACTCCATATATTGTATATAGGTATGTCTATACACTACCGGATATTAGCTAGCATAAATGCTTATTTGTGGCTGCGAAGAATTAGAATCATCAAGGGTCACCTAAACAAATAATTACATATCTGGGTACAATGCCTCCTTGAATTTACACCCAATACTCTTTATTACCAAACATTCAAGAATCAAAGGTGAAGAAAATATTTGAGAAGCATGCACTAGCACCTACAACTATGGGGCGGGAGTCCAGGTCTCAGACGAGACAATGAGAGACGCGAGGACATTGTGGGAAGTAAAAAACTGATGGAAGAATCCCTTCTCTCTTTAATATTATATATTTAGGTATATAGGATAGAACGTTTATAATGTAACATGTAAAAAGGCACAAAATAGCTATATAACCCAAGCAAAGCATTAAATGCAACTGCTTAATCTTGTCCCGGCCCAATTATTCATAAAGGATCACTAGGTTAGCTAATAACACCCTATGGCATATACTTATTTTATGTATAATGTTCTCTCAACACACAACAGCAAGATTTTGTGACAAGAGAACACATTTTAGAAGGAAAGAGTCTAAAATTACACTTCATTTCCTTTCATTTCTAATAATGGGATTTTTTATAGGACATAAAACGAAAGAGTTCAAAATTATACTTCGTTCTTCCATTTCTAATGGGATCCAAAATTTGTAGGACATGTATAGTTTTCAAATGAACAAGCGCCCCAAGGAGGAGCCCCCAGGGAAAAAAATGCTACCCTGAAATTATTATAATTATAAGGACATAAAAAAGGCAAAAGAATAAAATGCCTAACAAATCCAGGGCTCAGAAAATAGTCATGCAGCACATTGTTTAAAAAGTTTCCCTAGGGAATGAAAGCAGAACTGAATTAACAGAACTGAAACACAACAAATAGTTATTGTCATAAAAAAAAATCTTGATTTCACTAAGAATACAATGGATTAGTTGTGCACATGAAGTCCCTTTCTGGTATATAAACAATGATGTTCAGTAAAATTACCTGCATCTCTCATCAAGGAGATTAAGGAATTTTTTGCATGGTTTGTTAAGCATTCAAACACAGCTTGCGAGACTGGAACACCAGCACTTTGAACATGGCTTGACAGATCACCTGCATTTGTCACTGATGAGGTACACAGTTTCTAGCAAGGCATGTCAAGTACCGAGTATATTCTGTATAGGACTGGAGCAGCAGGTGCTTATGGCACAGGGTTTGTCAATTTACCTGCATTTGCCACTGATGGTATCCTAGGATCACTAGCAGAGCCAGCCATGGTGCCAAACATAGCCTGAGTAACTGGAGCAACAGTAGCACCTGTAATGAACTGAAAAGTTAAAAAGGTAGCAGAGGACTAGGCACTTATTTAAGTGGAAGGAGAACACATCAATAATTGGAAACCTTAAAAAATACTCCCGCCGTTCCAAATTATTTGACGTTTTAGCTTTTCTAAATACATTGTTTTATTATGTATTTATAGACTGTATATCTAAATGCATAGCAAAAGCTATGTATCTAGAAAAATAAAAAAAATCTTAATTTGGGACAGAGGGAGTAGAACTTTACCTGCATTTGCCACTGATGGCATCCTAGGATCTCTATCAGGGCCAGCCATGGTATTGGTGCCAAACATAGCCTGAGTAACTGGAGCAACAGTAGCACCTGTAATGAGCTCAGAAGTTAATAAAAAAGAAGCAGACGACCAGGCACTTAATAAGTGGAAGGAGAACACATCAATAAACAATAGATCTTTACCTGCATTTGCCACTGATGGCATCCTAAGATCTCTAGCAGGGCCAGCCATGGTATTGGTGCCAAACATAGAGAGAGTAACTGGAGCAACAGTAGCACCTGTAATGAGCTGAGAAGTTAAAAAGGTAGCAGACGACCGGGCACATAATAAGTGGAAGGAGAACACATCAATAATCAATAATTGGAAACCTTAAACAATAAATCTTTTAGAAATTATTTACAATGGAGGATTCTTAATTATCGTGCATATTAAGCAGGAGCAAGATGTGAAGCGGCCAACTAAATAAAATAACTGAAAACTTAAACAATAGACCTTTTAGAAGTTACTTATAAAGGGCAAACAAAGTGCATAGGAACAACACAATTAGGTCACTAAAGAATGAGCCAGCAACAGGTCACTAAAGAATGTGCCAGCAACAGGGGCACACCACTATTTTTAGTTGGCCTAGAGTGAAGTTGAGGCGAGGGCACTTACATGTATCACTAATTACTCCCTCCTTTAAAAAAAATGGAAAGGGGGGAAGTTATTAGCAGAGATGCTATTTAACAGAAATTTGACCATTACTTTGTCATCATTTAGTACTAAAAGATATTGAATTATTATATCATAGTATTAGAAAATATCTGATTTGATATGGTAAAGTCGGGGGTAGCACAAATAACTGGCTAGTTGCATTACGGATGCTCCATCTGACTGCTTTTAGGGTTCTTCTTGTCTTTCTCTAATCGATACATGACTTGTCTCTTTTATAGATATGAACTACTTATCCTCTAAGCAAATATCCTGACTTAATCTAATCTTATCCCTTTCCGAACAAACTGGATAACATCATCCATATGTCCTAACAAACTGGAAAACACCATCTCCTTCATGCGCTACAGTGCCACACCACCCCAAGGCTTGGTCCCACTACCATAACAACATTCCTATGCATTTTAAGTGTTAATCTTGATTATATATATATATATATATATATATATATATATATATATATATATATATATATACACACACACACACACACACACACACACTACCCTGTAGCTGGCTACAAAATAACTTATTCTGTAGCCACTTGGAGTTACGATAATTACTATGTTAATTTACGAGATTATAGTAACTCCTTACTAAGTGGTTTACTATAACGTTATGGTAAATATCCTCATGTGTTATAATAACCCAACAATCGTAAATATGTATTGGCATTATCGTAAGTTAGTATATAAAATTATCGTAAATGGAGGTGGCTACAGAATAACTTATTTTGTAGTTGGCTACTAAATATATAAACACTTATGTTCATAGAGTTCTAGAGCAGATGAGGGCAAGATTAAATTTCAGGATTAATTGCATTTGGTAACCATTAACCAGCAGTATGAAAAGCACTGATGCACCACACATCTTCAATATGTATTTCACTGTCAATGGTGCTGTCATGTGGGGACGCTCCTATACTCGACGTAGGAGGGCCCGCGACATCCGTCACTTGTGACCCGAAACCTTGCTTGGGCGCAGGCGAGCGGGCGGGGGCGTCAACCATCGGTGGCTAGGAAGGAAAGATAGGATAGTTTCCCTCTTTTCGGTTCCACAATTTTAGGAATAATTAGCTCTAGTTGGTTTGGGCCTTAGGCCATATATATATATCTTGTAATCAGGACTAAGGGGATAAGAAGTTATTTCCTAAATCCTCTCTCTTCTACAACCAACTAAGCCGACGGTGAGGTAAAACCTCGCCCGGCGACGACGAACGAGGCTACGAACTCCGTAGCAGCAGGTCCAGGCTTACCTTAAGCTAACGCCCTTGACAACTGGTATCACGGTCACGTCGATCTTCTTCGCCGACAACCGGCCGCCATCGCCTCAGCCTCACCTCCAGCGCAAAACCTAACCCACCACCAGCCGCCGCTGCCATCACCCCACCTTCACCCACGTCGTCAGTTGCATCTTGCGCCGGCACCATGGGGGATGATCTCAAGGCCTCACTTGAGGCGCTCGCCACGTCAGTCGCCCTGATGCAGAAGTCGATCGAGGCTAACGCTAAAGGCGATCGCCGACCTCTCCATCGCCGGCTCGTCCATGTCGGTGCACGTCCGAGGTTCGAAGCGAACACCATCAAGATCGGCCGCCCAAACCTTTGGCGTCCCGAGTTTCCGCCTCGACGGCAAGAGCGACCCATTGATCTTCCTCAACCGGTGCGAAGTCGTTCTTCCTGCGGCGGCGGATCATACCGAAAGAACGGGTGCGGATGGCGTCTTACAACCTTCAAGGCGGGCGCAGCTCTGGTACATGCAGCTCAAAGCGGCGAGGGCACCCCATCGTGGCGCGTTTCAAGGAGCTCCTGAATCTGCGTTTCGGGCCCCCCCTCCGATCGGCTCCTTTGTTCGAGCTGGCGTCTTGCCGCCGGACAACGACGGTGGAAGATTATCAAGACCGCTTCCAGGCTCTCCTCCCACGCGCGGGTCACCTCGACGAAAACCAGTAGCGTCCCGATTGTTCACGCAGGCGGCCTCCTTCCGCCGCTCGGTCTGCCGCCGTGCAAGTGCGAACCCTCAATCCTTGGTGGCGCGCCATGAGCCTTGCACGGCAGATGGAGTTGATGGATCAATACACTGCCGCGCCGCCGAAGGCCACACCTCGGGGGATCTTGCATGGGCCACAACCCCGCGCGCCCCAGGCGTATGGCCCCGCCGCAAAGGCTGCCGCTCCGACGGTCGCTGTGGAGGGCCGTCCGGTCCGTCGCCTGAACCAGGCCGAGATGGAGGAGCGCCGCCGTCTTGGGCTATGCTACAATTGTGACGAGAAGTACGGCCGCGGGCACAACAAAGTCTGCAAGCGCCTATTTCTCTCCGGGGCAAAGAAATTGGAGGACGAGGACGACGACACCGTAGCCGGGGACGACGACGTGCCTGAGACCGAGTCTCCGGTCTTCTCGCTGCATGCGGTCGCGGGGGTGGCTCGGGGCAACACCATGCAAGTCCAGGTCACTCTGGGCAGGATCACCCTCGTCGCCCTGTTGGACACGGGGTCCACGCACAGCTTCATCGCCGAGGCCGCTGCGGAGCGCACCGGCCTTCCCATCCAGCCACGTCCGCGACTCACGGCCACTGTGGCGAATGGCGAGAAGGTTCCATGCCCGGCGTCATCCGCCACGCCCCGCTCGTCGTCGACAACATTGCTTTCTGCGTCGATCTTTTGTCATGCCTCTTGCGAGATATGATGTGGTCTTTGGGCACTCGGTGGATGGCCACGCTCGATGCGCTGATGCAGGACTTCGCGGCCGGCGCGGTCTCGTTCAACACCATGACCGCCGCGGTCTGCTTTGGTCGGTGTGCCCTCATTTGGCCACGGCTTAGGCTTCGCGGCGGCGTCGTCGTAGCGCCGCTCCTCGACGAGCTGCTGGCCGGGTTCGAGGACGTTTTCGCTGAACCACGAGTTACGCCTCCCAAAGCGCTTCGCGATCACACCATCGTCCTCAAGCAAGGAGCGCAACCGGTCGCGATGCGACCATACCGGTACCCGGCCCCACAAGGGACGAGCTGGAACGCCAGATGCTCGCCATGATCGAGCAGGCATTGTCCGCCGCAGCGATTCGGCTTTCTCCTCGCCGGTCATCCTCGTCAAGAAGGCGGGCGGGACTGGCGCTTTTGCGTCGACTACCGGGCGCTTCGCGCGCTCACCGTCAAGGATGCGTTTCCGATCCCCGTCGTCGACGAGCTGCTCGACGAGCTCCACGGCGCCCGCTTCTTCACCAAGCTCGACTTGCGGTCGGGGTACCACCAGGTTCGCATGCGGCCCTCCGACATCCACAAGACGGCATTCCGCACTCACGACGGCCTCTACGAGTTCCTGGTGATGCCGTTCGGCCTGTGCAATGCCCCGGCAACCTTCCAGGCACTCATGAACGACGTCCTCCGGCAGTTCCTGCGTCGCTTCGTCCTGGTATTTTTTGATGACATTCTTATCTACAGCCGCACGTGGGCAGATCATCTCGACACCTCCGCGCCGTGATCTCCGAGCTTCGTCGCCACCAGCTATTCCTCAAGCGCAGTAAGTGTGCCTTTGGCGAGGGCACTGTCTCCTACCTCGGACACATCATCTCCGAGACCGGGGTCGCCATGGATCCAGCCAAGGTGCAGGCCATCCTTGACTGGCCGGTGCCGCGCTCGGCTCGGGCGGTACGTGGCTTCCTCGGCTTGGCGGGGTACTACCGCAAATTCGTCCACAACTACGGCACCGTCGCCGCCCCGCTGACAGCCCTCCTCAAGAAAGAAGGGTTCTCCTGGAACGACGCCGCGGCGGCTGCGTTCACCGCACTCAAGGCCGCGGTCACCTCGGCGCCCATCCTCTCAATGCCGGACTTCACCAAACCGTTCACCGTCGAGTGTGATGCTTCCTCCCACGGGTTCGGCGCGGTCCTCATCCAGGAGGGGCATCCGATTGCCTTCTTCAGCAGGCCGGTCGCGCCACGCCATCGCGCCCTCGCCGCCTACGAGCGGGAGCTCATTGGCCTAGTCCACGCCGTGCGACACTGGAGGCCGTACCTCTGGGGGCGCCGCTTTCTCGTGAAGACGGATCATTATAGCCTCAAATATCTGTTGGATCAGCGCCTTGCGACGATTCCCCAACACCATTGGGTGGGGAAACTACTCGGCTTCGACTTCTCGGTGGAGTATAAACCGGGTGCGGCCAATGCCGTGGCGGACGCCTTGTCCCGCCGCGACACGGAGGACCAGGCCATCCTCGCCCTATCGGCCCCTCGGTTCGACTTCGTCACGCGCCTTCGTCAAGCCCAGGACGCCGACTCAAGCCTCGTCGCGCTCCGCGAGGAGATCACTGGGGGCACCAGAGGCGCGCCGTGGTCCTTGGCAGATGGCATGGTGCAGTTCAACGGCCGGCTCTACATTCCGCCGGCGTCGCCTCTCATCCGGGAAATCATGCTGGCCGTGCACGAGGAGGGGCATGAGGGCGTCCAGCGCACGATGCATCGACTGCGTCGCGATTTCCATTTTCCTAACATGAAGCAGTTGGTGCAGGAACTGGTTCGTGTCTGC